CAAATAGTGAAGAATGTACATGCTTTAATCATCTATAAATGGTTTTAACTATTAACAGACAGATGTATGTTTATTGTATTAAAATTTGGTTTGTCTCATTCAAACCATCTCTGAGTAACAGAGTCAAATGTAAAGTGTTGCAACTGTCCCCGGTCTCCCCAACTAGTTGCACATTTGGCCGAACTAGTTTAACAAACACTTGTAATTTTGCCAATTGAGGGTATTTTTGCCCTCTAGTGTCAGCAGAAGTCATTACAAGTCAACCAAAATGCCACAATAGTGGCCCAAAGGTCCAAAGTAAATGAGCTGACTTTTTAATGTGAGTGGATCATTGGGTCAAACTAGTCAACAGCTTAACACAAGTTTATTAATAAGGATCAGAAACCCGTTACCCTTTTTTACCTGTTTTTCTTTGCAGGGGCTCAGGGAAGCTGGTGTGTTTTTCTGGTGATTGTGTGAGAGGCGGGTGCACAGGTAACAACACAACCGTTCACACTCTCACTCACTCCTACTTACAACTTACAGTTGACTTAATCTGCATGTTCTGGTTGGTGGGAAGAAACCTTAGTACCATGCAAGAGGAGAATAGGTGGTAATGCTTTCTTTTGTATTACCCTTATTACCATGTAATTACAAGGTAATTGGTACAGTAAATACCAATTGGAGAATTTTTTWAATTGGTGAATACCAATTGGTATTTACCAATTGGTAAATGGTAAAAAATGGTAATTGTAAAAATGGAAATTGAAAAAAATGGTAATAGTAATTGTAATGGCAATGGTAATTGTAAAAAATGTTAAAAAAGCTAAATAAAAATGGTAATTAGTACATTATTACCATGTAATTACATGGTAATTAGGGTACAAAAGGAAAAAAAACTACTCTTAGTAAAAGTACCTTAATTGGGTAACTWCAATCAAATTACTATTCAATAGKAACTCAACACTATGTTTATAACCAAAAGAATGTAACTAAATTTGGGGGTTAGTCGTTAATTGCAATAAAATACAACTTTAAAACTGTCCAAATTACCTACTACTTATTTTGGTGTTACATAGTGAATTGTAATACATTACCACGTAAGTGCCGACAATTAATTACATAGCAAAATTTATCCTAATATTGGTATGGTCAATACCAATTGGTATTTACCAATTGGTAAATGGTAAAAAATGGTCATTTAAAAATGGAAATTGAAAAAAAATGGTAATAGTACTTGTAATGGCAATGGTAATTGTAAAAAATTGTAAAAAAAGGTAAATAAAATGGTAATTAGTACCTTATTACCATGTAATTACATGGTCATTAGGGTACAAAAGAAAAAACTACTGTTAGTAAAAGTACCTTTATTGGGTAACTATAATCAAATTACTATTCAATAGTAACGCAACACTATATTTATAACCAAAAGAATGTTACAAAATTTTGGGGTTAGTGGTTAATTGCAATTAAATAAAACTTTAAAACTGTCCAAATTACCTACTACTTATTTTGGTGTTACATAGTGAATTGTAATACATTACCAGGTCAGTGCCGACAATTAATTACATAGCAAAATTTATCCTAATTACCGTGTAATTACATGAAAATTGGTATGGTAAATACCAATTGGTATTTACCA